TTGAGCAACTTCTGATATGTATTATCTTTATACTCAGCATATATTAGTAATTGGTTAGACTGCAAACCTGTATTGGTCGATCTCTACTAGGGCTGCAACTAGCGATTATTTTGCAAATCGGTTAATCTGTGAATCATTTTTCCAATTTATTGGTTAATAATCAGATAGCCAAAAGTTCCTTAAGATTTCTTTACGATCTTAAACCAAGCTAAACTAAACCTTTTCCAATTGAGGAGTTCTTGATAAAGCATATTGACAGACGGAAAAGTTTTTATCTTAAATACAAAATGTATATATATATATATATATATATATTTTTTTTTTTACAATTTTGGTATAATTACTGATCTAAGTGTGTCGCTCTGTTAGCTAATATTTGAGTCTCTATACACCAGTTGAAGATTGATGGATGACTAAATTAGTTAATTATTTCAATAATCGATTATTCACCATTAATCTGATTAATTGCTTCAGTCCTAATCTCTACTTCCAATTCTCTGATGTGTGTCATCTAAAATGGTGAGTTTTCTACCGAAATGAATTTAACACAAGGAGGCCAAGCTCAAATTTCAGAAGGATTTGACGACAGTTTGGTTCTCGATGTCTCTACAGACATTAACATGTTTAATCAAGTTTAACTGTCAATATTTTGTGGCCAAAGAAAATGAAGAATTTCACCACCATCAGCTGTGTACTAATCATGGTATGGCTGACTATTCTTAAAGGTTCCAAACTATGGCATATAAATGATGCATAGCTCTCACTCTGAATCTATGTCTAATTTTATTTAAAATCAAAGTATAATTCTATACAATAACATATGAATATGACTAAGGTTGAGACATGTGAATTTATTTGTTGATCATTAAGATCTTCCCAGAATAAACCCTGTTAAATATTTCTGCATGTCTAAAAAGCCTTGTGATGTCGTAAGTTCATTTTTGTTTTTTTTGTTGTTGTTTTTCTTAGGACTGAAACAATTAATCGGATTAATTGTGATTAATCAATTATAAAAATAATCATCAACTAATTTAGTAATTGATTAATCGTTACCTGGAGTATAGAGACTGTAAATCATGCCTTTAGCTGATAGAGCGACCCACTTAGAGCAGGAACCTTTGCTATCCAATAATGAATTGATTAATCCAAAAACAGAAATGTCAGATTAATCAGTTTGCAAAATAATTGTGAGTTGCAGTCCTAATACATGAATCTGAGTTGAGGTAATATTTTAACTAGGGCTGCAACTAACTATTATTTTGCAAATCGATTAATCCATTGATTATTTTTTCAATCAATCGATTAATAATCTGATAGCAAAAGCTTCCTTAAAGAATAGTTTTTACGAAATTAAACCAGGTGAAACTAAAAAAAGTTCTCTATAGAGCATACTGATAGATTAAAGTTGTTGGGTTTTTTTTATCTTAAATGCAAATGTATTTATTTATTTTTTTACAATTTTAATATTAATGCTGCTCATCTACACTTTAGTTAAAGATTGATTGATTAATAAATTAGTTAACGTTATTTCCATAATCATATAATCACAATTAATCCGATTAATTATTTCAGCCCTAATATGAACCACTGTCATGGTGCAAAGTGTGGAGTTTTACGTTTGTTAAGCTTTTAAATTCGAAAACTGTCGAGCTTTGTTAAACCTACTGATCACTAATTTCGTGTTTGTGAGACATCAAGGTGAAAATCTAATGATCCTTTCGTGAAAAAACTCCAGAGTCGATAAGAAAACACGAGTGATGGATTACATTTGCCTGTTTGCCCCCTCACCCTACAGCGCTCCCCCACCTTCAGCTGCAAAAGAAACCCACTCCCATTCTACTGTACCGCTCATCATTCAATCATCACAGCAGGGGGTGAGGAGGAAAGAGTGGGGGTCACATCCTGTCCCTGTCCCACTCACTGCCTGCCATCCTCCTCAGCCTGTCCCAGGGGACATGCAGGCCCTCACCGGCACCATAGAGCCAAAGCAGAGGCTGACAAAGCACTTTCCCTGCGTGTGCCAGCCTAGATGACTTCTACACACAACAAAAGGCCAAACCAAACCTGTCTCTTTCCTCCATTGCCTTTAGATGCATCAAAATCTGCCTGCTTCAGGCCAGGTTGTGTCCCGTGTGAAGAGGGATCAATAGAAATCAGGTCTGTTTCTTAAATGTGGTTAGGAAATGACTCTGAGCAGAGCTGAAGTCAGCCCTGAGCTTTAAGTTGCTTTTGTTTCATCTGAACAATAGAGGAAGATGGTAAATAGGCCGGAGCAGTCAACAATCCTATTCAGCAGTCGGGAGGTTTTTTTTTTTGCTTGTTTTTTTTTCCAGCTGGACCTAAACATCTGGAGCATCTCTTTGCTAAGAAGGCTTGCTCTCTCTTTCTTGGCCAATAAATCGTCAGGAAAAGGAGAAGCTGATAGCTTCAGGTTCTTACTTTCTAATTGGTATGAAATCTACCTGTCTTGTTGTTTTTATCAATAGTTAAATGAGGGAGAAAAGACAGGAAAAAAAAGTAGAGACTTTAATGTATTTTGAAAAGGGAGAAATTTTGGCTTTCAAGTTTCAGGCGTTCAGTCATCCTCTCAGTTTGATAGATTTGCAACAAAAGCAATGAAAAATGATTCAATTGCAATCAAAAAAACTTTTCAAATATACTTTGTTGATCCTAAAGGGAAATGAAATGTTGTTACAACACAAAGATGTTTCTTTAGTGCTTTGTTGTAGAAACTGATGGCTGTAGGCAAGCATCTCCTGCAGCTGTCTGTCTTACAGCGGTGCTGGAGAATTCTCTGACTGAAGACACTAATGTGGAGGATGCTTAGCGTACTTCATTTTATAGATAACTTCGCTTTTGTAAAATCCTCTTCAAAGGTTCTAGAGAACTTCCTCAAACAGAAACAGCCTTTAGCCAAGCAGCTTGTTAACTTTCTCTATGTCGTTTGCTCAGATGCTGCAACCTAAACAGATGAAGACAGAAGAGATCGCACTCTTCATAACAGACTTTTGTTTTAAAAAAACGAGCATAAAATAAAAGCATGCATAAATAAAATGATTATGCAAAAAACATCATTGTTAATTTGACATATGTAAAAGGATAAAGAATGGTGAAAGAATTATTTTCACATTTTATTCTTATTCTTTATTGATCTCATTCTTATTTCTTTACTTATTCTTTAAGTTTGGATATTTTTAAAATATTTAAAAGGCGCCAAAAAGATTTCCTTCTTCAGAGATTTATTAGTTTCTCATTTAGAAAAGATATTGAATTGTTTGTAACATATACATGATTTCTCAGTATTCCTATGTTCTACTTAAAAAAAAAAAAAACATACACTTTTCAGGACTTTAATTTCTTAGCTTTTGTTAACCAGTTTTAATAACAGTTTTAAAAAACTTAGTACAGCATTTTGATTTTTCTAAATGTCCCATGAATTATGTGAAAAATTTAACCAAAGTGCTATTCCACCATATTGGTCGTACCTGGACCATATTTTTATTTTTCTCTATAGAACAAAACTGAGATCCTTTCATTGAGATTATTTAAATAAATAATATTAAATATTTACAGATTTTTCTAAAAAAATATATAAAACCACCAGTGGAGAAGATCACAGGGTCAATTTGAAAGCCTGATACATGAAAGTCGAGAAGCCAGAAAACCTCTGAAATCTGTGGACAATTTTTCTCATATCATCTAATTAACAACAAAAATTTCATCAGCTGGTTAAAAATTTGAGGAGTTATGTTGCATTTCAGATAGATAGAACATCAATTAAAATAAAAAAAAAACAGGTATTTTGTCCAAAAATACGTTTTGATAATAAAATAATAGGATAAAAGTTTGTAAATACAAGAATGTCTAAGAACTCAGCTGTAATGGAGAGCAAACATTTGGTTAAACAAGAAAAAAGCTAAGAAAACGCACCATTTTGAAAAGAATGGTATATGGATATAGATATTTATATATTTTTTTTTTTTCCCTGAATTTTAGCTAAATTGCATCTTTTAAGCTAATTTTCACCTGTCTGTAATGTTAATTTTTTATTTGTTTTAACTTCTAATCTTTTTACATTTGCAACGAAACCTACCAGGCTCAAGAAAAATATTTCCGTTTTAGTTTCTTATGAAATTCAATTTTAAAAAACAAAAGTATACAAACAAATATAACAATTAACAAATGCGTAACGGGCATGCGCAATCTCTGTGTCACAGTGATTAAGTGTTTTGGGCACTTTTAATCCAGGATGTGGCGATAAATTCAGAGTTCCCAGCAGGGGGGCCCGACATGGACCTGGCGCCTGCCGCTGAGGGCCGCAGGGAGCTGATACCACCGGACAATGTCCTATGAAGAGGCAATAAATCTTTCCCGGCGATATGAGAGAGGAGGAGATTATGGGGGGGTGTTGAATTTTTTTTTGGTTTGTTTTTTCCTCGCAAACGGTGAACCAGTTCCATGCGAGGAGCTGAAAGCAGGGGCCAGCTTCCCACCCCCCCACTCATGTCAGCCCGGATTTAGGCGACTAACAGGCTAATGGCTGCAGGGCCTTCTCCAAGTTCAAAAGTTCACCTTTTACGATCTCCTCGGGCCTGACTGACCACCTCCAAATAAAAACATTCCGACCTCTGTTCCCAGCAGCTCCACACACACACACACACACACACACACACACACACACAACAAACAAGTAAACACACACACCGTTTGGAATAATAAAACCAATTCATCTCCTTTCTCTCTCCTTAAGTAACAAACCAAAACGCATCTATTAAATTTACTCTTAAAAAAAAACCTAGATGAAAAATTATTAATTGATGAATTTAAAGTAAACTGAATCCTAACAGATAAAGTGGAGCTTTTAATCCCTCATTTATTCCCCGCAGCAGCAGCAGGTAACTGTGAGCGCGCAGCAGTGAGCGCGCAGCAGCAGGATCCTGATGGAGCGCCACCAAACATGCAGCCATGTGTTTATGTGGGGAGCGCCACGCTCTGCTTACCGTTCACCGACTTGGCGTTGCTTCTCTCCTGGTAGTCGAACCCATTCGTCCTCTTGTCTATCTCCATCCTCCAGCAGGGACCCGGCCGGTCCGGAGTCAGCCCAGGGTTGCTCCTCTCCGCCGCGCAGCAGGAGGATGAAGCCGGAGGAGCTGACAGTAATTTTTGCGCTGCTCAGATTTCTACCAAGCTTTTCCTCAGCTTTGCTGTGTCACAGCTCGGACTGCTGCCCCATGCCTTTCAGCAAACTGTTTCCAGTCAGCAGGGAATTACTGGATCCACACCCCCCTCCAGGAATGGTGCGTTCGAGGTCTGAGGGGAGGGCGGACTTCAGTGGCCTGCATACTGAAGTAGTTTGGCTTGTTGTTAGGCCAAAGCTTGGGAGATCAAATAAAAGTCAAGAAGCTTATTTGTAAATAAACGTTCTTCATTAAAAATACAATAAAAATGTTCACGTCTATAAAACATAAAGAAAAACGGTTCACATTCTTAATAAAAAATTATGTTTCAGTTCATATTCTGAATAAAACATTGAAGGGCAGCTCTAGGGATTGTTTTTTAAGCTTGATTTAAAGGCTGTGTGTTTGTGTGTAATCTGTTTGATTACAGGCATAACAACCTGCAGGTAAATACTAAAACACGTCAGACCTGTTGATGCCAAAATCTAATTCCTTTTAGTTCAAAACATCAAAATACTGCTGGGTTTAACTCAGAAAACTGTACTACAAAAAAGAAAATTTTTGAATTTTACTTCTAGAACCACTGTGGCCTGTGCTGTATTGTTGTGTCCTATAAATTTAGATAAACTGAGCTGTGAGACGATGAAGGTTTTAGTTTCTCCTGCTTAACTGGAAGGCAGCACAGGCAAAGGCAAGTGAATTATGGGAAGGGGAGTTTTATATCCTATTTTGGCCACCAGTTTCTTCCCTGTGCAGAGCCAACTTGAAACTTATGGACCAATGCTGATGAATGACCAATGACTGCTCATTTTTAACTATTAAGTCTGCCAGGACGACTTACATGGGCAGTTCTAGACAGGAATCAAAGGGGGCCAGAACCACTGCAGAACTGGTCTTGACTGGTGTTATGGCCCCTGTACTGAAGGGAAAATACTGAATCAATTTCTTATGATGGAATGTATGCGGATAGAAGTAACTACTGAAGCCAGGCGGTCATGTCCCTCTGATACTTTTTTACGGTGGTTATCACATGAAAAAAAAGCTAATTTTCTCATTAACTAAAGATAGCGAAAGCAATGCTCTCGTCATTATGAGATGATTGCTGTGTGTAAAACTGATTACATCCTTCAATACCACAACAGCGGGAGAGGATTTATAAGTATAAGTCATGGCAGCCTACCCCCCAAACCAAAAATGAGTCCATATTTTCATTAAAAAACAGATTTATTTCTACTGTATTCCATACAATCCAATCGCCCACCACTACCTGACAATGAGTGAAAAGAACAAGGAAATTGAAAAGCTGATTATTTGCGCACATGCAGTACTGCGACTGCACAACTACAGGCACCGCAGGCATGGAGGGACTGGGAATCCAGGGCTGATGGTCAGCCTCATTCATTACTCATACAATTCAATTCAGTTTATTTATATAGCGCCAAATTCACAACACATGTCATCTCAAGGCACTTTACAGTTCAACCAGATCATACAGTCAAATTGATACAAAGTTTTCTATCTAAGGAATACCTATAATCAAGGAATACCTTGAATCCTAACCCT